CACTTGGCCAATAGATATTCCATTTCTTCTTTCCCTGTCTTTTCCTCTCCTTCCTTCTCACTGAAACAAGTGGACCAGCTCTGTGCTCCCTGCTTCAGGTGACGCAGAAGATGGAAGCAGCCTACAGGTGGCCTTGGCTTCGTATTCTGCAAGCCTTAGCCCTTGGGGTTTCGGAGCATAGATACGGTGTCTTGGCTAGAATTAAGGGGCACAAGGAGGCTTTCTCCATACAGAGAAGAAATGGCCCTGGTTGGGACCAGGTCGGGGGGAGAATGTGGGGCCCTGTGGAACCTGAACCACTGCCAGAGAGCCACAGGAGGAAATGACAGGTCCGCAGAAGGTTTCTGTCCTCTGTGCACAGCCTTAGAGAGAATCAGAGGGGGGCACCTGGGTGGCTCAGTAGGTGGGGCATCAGCCTTTGGCTTAGATCAGGGTTCCAGAGTCCTGGGATCAAGCCCACACTGGGCTCCCTGCTCAGCAAGGAGTCTGCTTCTCCCACTCCCTTTGTTCCTCCCCCTACTCATGTGCACATGTGCTCAAGTGACCTCTCTCTCTTGCTCACTCACTCTCAAATAAATAAATGAAATCTTAAAAAAAAAAAAAAAACTGTCAGAGGGCTGCTCGCTGAGGAGCCTCCCAGGAGGAGGGCGTGCCCTGCAGCATCCCAGGTGGAACTTTATCTGGGAACCATGTGCACATCTCCACCTCAACACCCTCCCACCCAGGCCCTGGCATCTGAGAAACTCACCCTGCCATCTGTACAGTCCCAGGGGCAGGGATACCAGGAAGGACGGAGAGGAAGTTTTCTGCTGTGTATGAAATGAACGCTCAGGTTCAGAAGTTAAGTGAAACGGTAGAAGGAAGTTAAATGATAGAATAACTGAACTACTGAGCTGATGTCCTGCAGTGGATACCTGTCACACAGCCGAGAAAAGGAGGCTCAGAGAGGGCAAGCCAGAAGGTCAAGGCCACCTAGATCACCTGGAAGCAGAGCCAGAGCCGACCCAAGCTTGTGAGACTCCAAGCTCGGCATTGCCTGCCTTAAGAATTGGGCAAATCCCCGTTGAGAAGGACTGGTCTGATAAGTACTGGGCAGAGAGAGAGAAAGGGAGAGAGACGTATGGGTCAATACGGAGGGATCATCAAGATGTGCCACTACGTAGAAGTAAAGGTGCACAGCTGCTTGTACACTCCGCTGGTATGTGCATTAAATAAATCTAGCAAGACACAAGGAACTGCTGTGCTGGTTGTCTTCTGGAGGAAACTGGGTAATGGGGAGACAGACGGGAAGAAGACTGTTCCTTATACAACCTTCTGTATCTTTTGGATTTTGAATCAAGAGAATCTATTACCTATTCAGATTCAAAAAATAACATTTTTTATAAGGTGAGTGACAGAGAATCTCTTTGTTCAACCCTCTTAAATGTGATGAAACAGACTCCCACTGAGCACCCAGGTTGTGCCAAACCCCCAGTGGGTGCTGTGGGTTATACATAATGAGAGGGATGCTGCCTCCAACCACCAGGAGCCCACTTACCCCAGGCAACCCCGACCCCCCAGGCTGGGTGGGGGGGGGAATAAGCGACCACAGGACTCCCACAGCCTCTCACCATTCCACACTTGCCAGGACCCCCAGTCACCCTACGCTGTGAGCCTCAGTTGGTGAGGGGAGAGGGTCCATCTCAGGGCCAGCCTCTGTGAGCCTGAGGACCACGGGGCAGTCTGAGCCAAAACTCCTCTGGGCCACAAGGCTCCTCCCTGGCAGAGGTTGAGGTAGGGCCGTGGGGAGGCAGGGAGGTAGGGAGTCTGATGGACTTCCTTCTGTATTTCGATGGAAAGGATCAGACACAGTTGTGCCTTTTCTTCTTGGACTGTGAGCGTTCACTGCTGGTAAGGAGATGGCGGTTACCACACGGGCCAAATAAGCACTGAGTTCTGAGGCAGTTTCAACCTGGGTGGGAAGAGTGAGTGTGTCCAGGTTCTCTGTAAAGGTAGCTGTAGTCTGCCACACTGGACAGCCGCCTCCCTCTCCGTCTCTCCCAAATTTTCTGCTTCACACCTTCGCCTGACCAAGCTGCCCCAGCCCCTTCCTAGGAGCAAGCAACAGCAGTGGCAGCCAGCATGTCCCAACTTTTCACCACTTCCCCCAGCGTTGTCCTCACATCATCCTTGACACGGAAAGAGATAAATGCCTCCCTTGGGGTGAAGCTGTACTACTTGGGGTCCCCACGACTCTAGGAGAGGAAGCTCTTTCTGGAGGAGTCCCAGGATCTGGCTATATGAAGCCAGTAAACCACAAAATGCTCTCCCAGCTGATGTGTCCAATAATCCTTGAGCTATCCTGGGTGTGTCCTGGGCAGGACACAGGTCACTGCCCTAAACCTGCTCACCAACCAGCTAGAGTAGCAGAACTGAGAGGTTAGCCCAGGGTCCTGACCCCAGATCTCAGGTTCTCTTCACACTATTGCTGAAGGAGAACTCCGAGGTCACTTGGGACAACCTCACATTTTCAAATGATGAACTGAGGCCAGGGAGGGAGAGGGACATCTGCAAGGTCACACATCGTGTGAGCGGCAAAGCTAGGCCTGAAGAACCCAGCCGCCTGTCTCCCATCTAGAGGTGAACCCTTCTGTCAACAGAATGAAAAAGGCAGGTTGCTTGAGACAACCTGCCACCTTCTCCCCTATAGCATCCCTGATTTGCCCCAACTCACTTCATTTCTCAGTTGCCGCCCCTTAGACCAGTGCTTGTGACCTCAAATATCTTGGAGAACAGGCAGGTATGTAACTGAGCGAGGTTATCTAGGCCATCAACTGAGACAAGATAACACAGAAGGATGGTGATTGTGTTCAACTGGGAAGTACTTTCTCTGCTTCAAATCCAATTTTTAAAAAATATCAACACTTTGAGGCCACTGGGTGGCTCAGTTGGTTGAATGTCAAACTCTTGTTTCAGCGCAAGTCACCGTCTCAGGATGTGGGATCAAGCCTGCCACTGCCCCCCTGCACTCATGCTCTCTCCTTCTCTCGAATAAATAAATAAAATCTTTTAAAAAATCAATGCTTAAAAATATTCCAGTGGGTTTTGTGGGAATGAGGGGAACCAAGAGAATAAGACGAGCCATGAGTTGGTGATTGCAGAAGCCGGGTGTTGGGTATATTGGGTTATTAATACTATTCTGTGTAAATGTGTATATGTTTTCAATGTGCCATAATAAAAAGGGTTTTTTGTTAATGTGCTATCAAGACACATGTTGGGTCCTCAAGCCATATTAGATCCACAGGCCTGCAATTAGCAAACTCTACTCTTGACATTCTAGAATATTCCCCTGGCCATTTGTATGCTTCATTCTGATTCTCTCTGCAGAGCCTAGGATAGAGCAAACGAGGGAGGGTGGAAAGGACGAAGTGACACGTTGGCTTGGCAGGGCTTGGAGTTGGCCATCGTCAATGAGCATAGACTCTGGGATGTGGATGGAACCCCGTGAAAATAGACACGAGTCAGACACACACTCACCCTGCACGATCTAGTGCCTCCCCTCACTCCCTGCCCACCCTCCCTGTGCCTCATGTACCTTGCTCATCTTTCTTGGACTCTGCTTACTACCTGCTACACAAAGGCAAACAAGCAAGTTGAAGGATCCGATGGGCTCCGGCTGCAGGAGGGGACATTATCCCATCTGGATGAAAAGTAAAATGTGCAAGTGACCTGGCACATGCAGGCTAATGGGAATCTAGAGTTGTGCTGGCTTCCAGCAAGACCTCCCCAGCAGGGTGTGGAAGGCATGAGTTTTAGGGTGGAAAGGGGGTAGGAGAGAAGGAGCGGGTTTTATTTTTCCTTCTCCATTGCTTAGGCTGACTCTCAGGCACCATCATCTCTCTCCTAAACCCAATCATCCTCCTGGTTCATAAAGTGCCCTCCCATGTATGACATCACTGAACCTTACCAGCCCTGTGAGGTAGATATCATCCCATATTATAGATGAGGACTTGGAGGTTCCACATGATCGACTGACTTGCCCAAGATAGCACAACTTATAAGTGGTGGAACCCAGGGATGCTGAACCTAATGTCAGCACTGATTTTTCTAAGTAATCACTTGGGGTGCCTGGGGTGACAGGAAGTTTTGCTGGGCACTATTAATTGCAAATGTGTTGCAGCTTTTTAATTAAGGAGGATTGTTGGAGGTGTCTTCTGGGATGACATGGACAGGGGGCATTTGGATTTCCTCATGTACCTTGTGTGAGGACCATATAGCCCCCAAATCTCTCCTGAGTGCAAGATGTTTGGAGAAGTTGAAAGAAGACACTGATTTTGTCCACATGAGCTAGAGACAGAGACTTTGGATCTTACGTCAAATCTGAATTCTGTCTGCCTTTGCTGTGTGACCCTCAGGCCAGACCTTTCCCTCTCTGGTCCTCCGAGCATCCCTCCAGCAACCAAACCAAAGCCATCTCCCTGCCAGCTCGCTGCACAGCAAGACTCCACTCCCTTGTCACCCTCCTAGAGAAGGTGAGGAAGGGCAGGATGGTCACTGCTCAGAGGAAACATCCCACACCCCTCACTGGTTTAGGAATGTAACACCAGGGAAGTGATGGGTATCGAAGCCTGGCGACTGTGAGGAGGAGGAATGAAACAGGCTGGGGCTGGACCCAGCTTTGCAGCTCTGGCCTGCACAAAAGCTGCTTTTCACGCCTTTTTCCTCTGTTAATTTGGCTTGTTTTCCAAACATAGGTCAAATAGTCTCCCCCCAGAAACAGAAGCAGCAGAAGGAAATGTTATTAAAAAACGAGTCCGTTAGTGGGCATGGTGTGTGGACGGAGTCTCTGGGAGTTTTTGGCTGCCAAATAAAGACTTTATTGTTGTCATTCCTCCGTTCCCAAGCTCCCTCTCTCCCTCTCTCTCCCCCTCCTCCCTCCTCCCTCCCTCCCCTCTTCCCTCCTCCTTCCCCTCCCTCCCTACAATCTGCCTGTCCCTCCCCCTAACCTAACCTCCCCACCCTACTAGGATCTGGGAGAAGAAAAGCCAGGCAAATACAAGCACGCAGGCACCACTGGGAGGTTAGAACTTCTAGCCGGCTCTCTGCTGCCGCAGCCCCACCGAAGGGTGGGGGAGGAAGAGGGGGAGCCTTGCCCGGGACTAAACCCACAGCTGAGAGGAGAGGCAGGTGTGTGCAGGTAAGCCCAGGGGGAGATGGGGGAGAGCCCTTCCCCGGAAGGCTTCCTCCTACTCTGTCCAACCAACCTTATTGATCTGGTCTCCATCTCCCTCCTTCCTTCCTTCCTTCCTTCCTTCCTTCCTTCCTTCCTTCCTTCCTCCCAGCCTTTCTCCTTTCAAGTGAGCCCCAATGAGCTCTTCCACATTTCTCCTGCACCCTCCTCCTCTACCTTCTCTCTCTCATTCTATGCCCATGTATTTGCTTGATGCAAAAATTAAACTTTCTTGGTTCAGATGTTTGCTGTGGCACAGGAAGTTATACTGCGCACAGTATTCTACACAGCAGGTGTTTCTATGGAAACCTGACTCTAGAATCCATTTCTTTGCACCCTTCACGTATTGTCACACCCCGCCACAAGGGCACCCACACGGCACAGAGGGGCTGCATTTTCTCAAGACACACACACACACACACACACACACAATATGAGGACGTCCTGTCCGTTTACCTCCTCTCTCTGCATACGACAAGCAGAGCTAGAGCACACAGAGACTGGCTGCCCAGCAGGCAGACAGACACACACACACACACACACACACACACACACACACACACGATCCATCTTGTCTCTCACACTTTCACATGCCTCCCCAGCTGGAAGAGCAAAAAGAAAGTGAGTCTTCCCACTGAGATGGGAGAGCCAAAAGAAAACCATGTGTCCTGATTTGAGGCTGAGAGGGAGGGGATGAACCCAGCAAGCGCTGGAAGGGTTTTTTCATTCTTTAGAACTTAATTGGGTAGGAGGGAGAAAAAAAGCACCTTTCTAACCTGCACAGTATCTTCCCATTAGCTCTGAATGTCCCTCTCTGGTCCAAACCCCTTGGCTTTTGGGAAGAAAGGGAAAAAAGCATCCCAGCTTCCAAGACTTGGAGGTCCTGGTTCCCGGCACTGGGGGCAGCTCATTTACTTTTTTCTACAGGCAGCCAGAAAGCTTCTCTTTTTAAACCAATTTCAAAATCATCCCAGGTTGATAAGGTGTCCTTGTGGCAAAAAGATAGCAATTCCTTAGTCAGGGAGGGGGAAGCCAAAGTGGATGATTGAATGGGGCTCCTTTCCAAGTAGCCCCATCATCCCCCCAACTTCTTAAATTCTGCAACAGCAGAGGGAGTGCTGTGCCAGGGCAGGTAGGGGTGGGCAGCTCTGGGTCGCCAAATGTGTTTGATCTTCAAAATCACCTGGGAGCAAGGTGGGGGATAAGGGAACTTACTAAAAATATAGATTTCTGGACCCCTCACTCTGCTCCTTCCAGATGGAGCCCAGTAATCTGTTGTTTAATGCTTGAGGGGCTCCTGATGGTCAGCCAGGGTTTGAGCACCTGAATCAGGGGCTTGAGAGACACCCATGTGGGGACTGAAGAGCCCAGGACTCAAGGCAGTATGAGCTAGGCAGAAGGACTGTATGGTTTCCTGGACAAGAATTGTCTGGTGGAGGAGTTCCAGAGTGTCCTTGGAGTAGGAACAAGCCACCTGAAGGAATAGAGAAGATGTCCAGTGGGCCCTCCTCTACCTTTTCCCCACAAGCACCAGCAACTGCATCATCAGGCATATCCCAGAAAATTCCCCCAAGATAGCTCCAAAGAGCTTCTGTTTCCTCTCACTTGCCAATCTGCCTACACTGGGCACTGGACTGGGCTCTTCCCCATTCCCTCTATATCCCCTCTCCCCCTGCCTGATAGCTGCTGTCCTGATGTGCACAGAGAGAGGTCGGACTAAACACCAAGCTCTGTGCTCCCCCTTCACCTCCCTGGTGGGCAGCCTCATTTATTGGGCCTGCGAGGGAAGCATGTCAAGACTAGAAGGGGGCAGAAAAGCCAGGTGCAAAAGGTTGGGAAGGGAAGTCATGGATCACAGGGGTCTCCAGAGCCAGCTGAGGAAGTGAGCAAGCATCCCCTTACCTGCTACGGAAAGGCTTCAGGTGGGGTTAGTGAATTGGAAAGACAAAGTGAGCCTTGTCCCAGGTAGCTGGAGGCTCCTATGGTCTCTCCAACTAGTTGGTTCTAAGACCCAAGTGTGGCCTCACAGGCCCCACAGGGAGGAGGCTGCTTTGTGTGTGGAAGAGCTGGAGGAAATATGGGAGCCAGTACCCACCTACAAGAATCCCTACCTTTGAGTGGAGAGCAGGGCTGCCCTCTGGCCAAGTTAAAGGAAAAGAGACCCCATTACTTTGAAGATATGTCACCAACAGCTTAACATTCACTAAGCACTCACTTTAACCACATCTACTCATTTAGCCCTCAAAACCGTCTGATATGAAGGTGTTAATATGCCTGCTTTACAGATGAGGACGCGAGAGCTGAGTAGAGGTAGGTTTGCCCAAGCTCTCCAGCCGAGCAACTAAAGACTTGCAGGGTTGGAACCCTGATCTATGAGTACTCAAGGCATCAGACAGATTCCTCCAGACTTTCCTCAGGGATTGGAGATACTGAGGGATGGAGGCAGAATGAAGGATATGGTGAGGAGACAGGCCGACAGACAGACAGACAGCTCACCCCATTTCGTCCCTGGTTTCTCAGAATGGAAAACGTGCTCTTCTGGACTAGTGGCCTCAGGCCAGAAAAACTTCATTCTGTTTACACTTTGCCTTGTGGTAGACACTGGGGAGACAGATGGTCTCTCCATAATAGTGTTATATTTATTTTTAGGATTTTTTAAATCTGTGGTTCATTTTAAAGTTGTTTATCACACTTGTTTCTGACAACAACTGAGTGAGGAATATAGGGATAGGGAAGATTTGTTATCCGTTTTACAGGTAAGGAAACTGATGCTGAAGACAGGCTGAGAAACCTCATCCCCTGTCTAGCATGTACCGTAAAGCTCTCTTGCCACCACCCCTGTCAGGCTCACCCTTATACTGATTCACCCCACAGGAAAGGGACAGCTCAGCTCCATCAATAACGTGTTGAACTCATCATGCCTCCTTTTCAGCCCTTTTGTTAGCTGAAGACCACATGAGGGGCCCCTTGTGAGGAGCTCAGGCAGCCTGGTGGGGGAGAGTGGCTGCCTCAACTCCTCGGCTAACAAATGACCACCTGATTCTCCTGGCTTCCAACCTCCTTCTGGGCTTTAGGAAGAGACAAAGGAAGCAGGACAGCTTTCAGAAGTCTGAGTTTAGACCGAAAGAAGGGAACAAAGAAAGAGGGTCATCCTAATGTCCATGGACGTGCCTCTGGGGCCAGGGGCAGCCCCATTCCCCACGACAGGGTCACTGGCTGAGTTAAGCTGTGAAGGCTTAGGGGTGGCCAAGTAGGCAGGAAATATGACAAGAACAAGACTACCAGTGAGTACAGTTGACCTCTGGAAAAGCACAGGGCTTAGGGGTGCCAACCCTCACAACACAGCCAAAAATCTGCAATATAACTGTTGATTCCCCCAAAACCTATTAATAGGCTGCCATTGGCCAGAAGCTTAACCAATAACATCAACAGTGAATCACCACATATTTTGTATGCTCTACATATTATACACCGTATTCTTACAAGAAGGTAAGCTAGAGAAAAGAAATGTGATTTTAAAAAATCATAAGGAAAAGAAAACACATTTATAGGACTGTACATATATTTATTGAAAAATATCTGCATATAAGTGGACCCATGATATTCAAACCCATGTTGTTCCAGGGTCAACTATAGAGTGAAATAATCTTTCTTCAACCCCGGGAGACACACCCAACCTTACTCCCAGCCCAACCCCAACCCCAGACTCTCCATGCCAAGTCAATTAGCCTTAAACTTGCTCATACTGACTTGACAAATCCATGCGAACTTCAGCACAGCCCTGCCCTGAGCCTCAGCCTTGCATTAGTCCTGGTGTTCAAGCCTTAATGAGTGAATTCACGAACTAGGTAGGGATGAGGGCTGTCTCACTTTAAAAATCAGTCTCCCTAGAGGATCTGCTCTTTTATAAATACATAGGTGAATAAATGAAAGCCCCGCCATTTGTAGAGATTTTATGCTCTACCACACGCCTTCATGTGTGTGATCTCATTTCATCTTAATAAATGAGGAGCCTGGGACGGAGGGTGAGAGTCAGGATTTAAGCCCAGATCTCCAGTACTTGGAACGGAAAATTGAACTGAGAACTCTCATAGGAAATGTTCTGAAGTAGTGAGTGAACACTGGGTTGGGCTTTGCCCTCATGAAGCAGCAGCTCTCAAGAGCCCATGCTGGGGCACGGAGCTGGGTGAGGTTTAGTGGTTGTTGCTGGTCTGCAGGAGCCTGAGGACTGCTAGTGAGCACCCCCCAGCAGAAAGCTGGGAGTGGGGTGGGGAGGTATGCCTGCAAAGACATATGAAATGTAAAAATCACACACACTCATGACCCAACCTAAGGGAGTTTATGATTGGATGGAAGGCTCTGGAAGGCAGAAGCATAAGAAAATGTGACTTTGGGCTTTGTGGCGGGGGGTGGGGGTGGGGGTGGGGGAGCAGTTGTGACTTCCCTTGGAGTCCAGGGGCCTCCACTTGGTCACACAGATTCTGCTTTCAGGGACTTAGGGCATCGCTGAGTATTGCCAGAGCAATAGCTGTGCTGTCAGGACCTCCCCTCTGGACAGTCAGGCTCCAGCATGAAGAGGCATTGCCCAGTGAAAAAAGCCTTAGAAATGAACTCTATTTTCTCAAGAAAGAAGCATGGGATCTGGCGTGTGCACACACATGCACACACACATACATACACACACAGCAGAGAGTGGTTGAGCCCTGGGGCTCAGATAAGGGGAGTTGAACAGATGCAGTGTTTCTCCATGGAATGAGGGTAGAGAACTTTTCCTCCAAAACCTCCTCGTGGTTCTGAGCGGAGCTTGGCCAGTCTCAGAGGTTTGGAATGTAAAAGGGTCAGGAGGCCCGTGGGGGCTGGGGTTGGAGGGTGGCAGGGACGATAAGAGGAGTTCCCAAAGGGTCTGGTGCAGGAGCTGGGGATGAGGAGGACTTGTGCTCACTGTGGACAGAAGGAGCAGGAGGCTAGCCTGTGAGCCTGCCCTCCTGACTGTGAGCACCAGGGCTGCCCAGGCCCCCAGCTTCCCAGAAATACCCAGGAGCAAAGGCCAGCTGCCCCGGCAGTGAGCCGCACAGAGCCACCCTTGCTGTAAGTGCTAGACACGTGTTACTTGCTTAACTCGAGGTCCAATATCTAGGCAGATGCTTTTGATGACAAAGGCAAGGAAGGGAAATGGGGGAGCTCACAGCCAGTGCTGGGGAGCCTCCCTGAAGCAGGGCTTCATATCCTGAGAGATTTTATGTTTATTTCTGGCTCCCAGGTGATCAGAAAATAAAGAAATGCCCAAATAAATAGGGTCGGAAAAATTGGGGCTCTTAAAAACGTTTGCGTTCAGTATACTAATGCTTTAACCACCCCTTAAAGTGTATATGTCTGTGCTATTTTCTAGAAAATTACAAGACTAATGAAATACTAATTCATAGTTTCCCAGTCCTGAGTGGTGTGGGGCCCGGTAACAAGATGGGAGTTTAGGGCAGCCCCAGCGGCCCAGCGGTTTAGCGCCGCCTGCAGCCCAGGGCGTGATCCTGGAGACCCTGGATCGAGTCCCACGTCGGGTTCTCTGCATGGAGCCTGCTTCTCCCTCTGCCTGTGTCTCTGCCTCTCTCTCTCTCTCTCTCTCTCTCTCTCTGTATCTCTACGAATAAATAAATAAAATCTTTAAAAAAAAAAAAAAACAAGATGGGAGTTTACAATGAATGTCCGCTCTTTTCAGCCCTTGTGGGACTGTTGGATCCTCAGCTGGAGGTAAAGCCAAGAATCTAACTGCACGGTTCTTCTTTGTGATGAGAGGCCCAAGAAAATGGACCTGGTGGACCCCCTCAGAGAGGCCTGCCTGGGGAGAGACCCCCTTAGAGGGAGGTAGGGAAGCAACAGAGGCTGCAGGGCAATCTCTTCCTTCCTTTCCTCCCATCTTCAGAGTACTATGTGGACATGGGTTTGCTTATGTGCACGCGTGTGTGTGTGCATGAAAGAGAGAGCTGGCTAGGTGTCAAGGGTGTGTGTGCATGAAAGGTGCAGGGAGACCCCCTTCTACCCCTTGGAGTTGAGCTCCGCCCTCTCTCCCATTTCTTGTCACATTCAATGCCTCCGGAGCATCAGGCCTGGGACTACGCAGCTGGTGAGAGGCCTCTATCCTCTTCCTTTGAGCAGAGCCAGAAAGAAGCATGCAAGGGAGGAGTGTAAGTGGATGTGGGCTCAAAGGAAAGACAGTGATAGGCCTGGCACAGAGGCAGGCAGGCAGGATCCCAGGGTCCAGATGCAGCTGGGGACACACTGTGGCCTGCCCTAGGTCAGAGAATCCCAGGAAGCCTGCATCTCTGGGCCCCAGACCACCACCTCATGAGGAAGCAGTAAGGAGGCTAGGGAAAGTGATGTGGGAACAGAGAACCTGGCTGTAGACCAGAGGGGAGGAGAGTCACAGGACTGGGGGGCCCTGTGGAGGAGACAGTGCGAGGGGAGGAAGCTGGTGGGAGCTGCCACTCTGTCTGCAGCCCTGATCCTATTGCTATTTCTCCAGCTTACTTCAACTCAATCCACATGACCCTATCTGAAGAGTCACCAGAGCCACTGGGGAGCATGACCCCAATATAGCCTTCAGTGACCTATTCCACTATGTCACAGAGGCAGGCAGGAAATTTTTCTTCATAGCCAGTCTCAACACCAACAACTGCCATGGATATGGGGGCAGTGATACGAAGTCAGAAGAAATGAAAGTGATTTCCCCACAGCTTTTGATCCCTTCCCTGTTTATTTTCACAGGAGCCTTCACATCTGGGGAGAAATTCTTGGTATGCCTCTTGCTGGCAAAGACCAGCTTTCCCTGAGCTGAGCACAGAGCTGAGGAGTAAGCAGGGGCAGACACCAGACACAAGTGTGTCCACAGCTCTTTCCTTCCTTTCCAGGACCTCCACAAGCCCTGCTCTGGAAAGCAGGAGGCCTGGGTTTTTGTCCCAGGATTGGTGTTCAACAGCTTCCTGGCCTTGGCAAGCCATTCCATCCCTCCAGTACTCAATTTCTGTAAACAGTAGAATCTGGGCTTGATTGGTGAATTTCAAACCATTTTTAGCAATGCAGCTCTTCTTTCAAATACATGCTTTGGTCAAACCTCTATATATAACAAATTTAAAAACACAGAGCCAAAAAAATAAATAAATAAAATAAAAAGAAAAAGAAAAAAAAAAGAAATAAAACAACAACAACAACAACAACAAAACACAGAACCACTCAGGTTGGCTCAGGGGTGAGTTGGAGGTGCCCCAGGGCCACCCACTTGTTTTCCCTCCCTCAGGGGGCTCCACATATCAGGGAACAGTCTGAAAACCATTGAATCATAGGATCTCTTAGGATCCTTCCAGATGTACCACTTAGGACTCTATGGTTCACGTATCCTAACATCCCTCTTCTAGGAACAGGGGTGATTTGTTCATGCTGCAAGTGGGGAGACCAAGCACTAGAGAGGTTAATGGTCTTCTCCAGCAAGCCCCAGAGCTCCTGATTCTCAATGTGCCTTCTGCCAGGATGTCTCACCCTCCCAGAGCTGGCTAGGCATGTAGGCTGGGGGTCCAAACCATCAAGTCCTTGTTATTTTCTTACCTCCTGGATATGGGCAGACAAAGAGAGGCTTCAACAGGTCTCTCTCACTGGAGCTCATCCTGGCCAACACTAGTGCCAAGACAGAGCCTTTAATTATGGAGGCCCAGAAGGTTAATGACTTCGTGTGTCTCCTCCCTGCAGGTGTGTCACCTGGATCATGAGGTCATCCCTCTGCTGGCTCCTCCCACTTCTCCTCATCTTGGCCTCAGTGGCCCAAGGCCAGCTAACAAGACGACCAAGACCCAGACCCAGACCCAGGCCCAGACCCAGGCCTACACCCAGCTTTTCTCAGCCCTATGAGCCACCGGAACCTACAGACCTGCCCCCTCCCCTCCCACCAGGTCCTCCCTCTATCTTCCCCGACTGCCCCCGGGAATGCTACTGCCCCTCTGATTTCCCGTCTGCCCTCTACTGTGACAGCCGCAACCTCCGAAAGGTCCCTATCATCCCACCCCGCATCCATTACCTCTATCTGCAGAACAACTTCATAACTGAGCTCCCAGTGGAGTCCTTCCAAAATGCCACAGGCCTGAGGTGGATCAACCTGGATAACAACCGAATTCGCAAGATAGACCAGAAGGTACTGGAGAAACTACCCAGTCTAGTATTCCTCTACATGGAGAAGAACCAGCTGGAAGAGGTGCCCTCGGCCTTGCCCCGGAACCTGGAGCAGCTGAGGCTGAGCCAGAACCAGATCTCCAGAATCCCACCCGGCGTCTTCAGCAAGCTGGACAGCCTGCTGCTCCTGGATCTCCAACACAACAAGCTGAGTGATGGTGTCTTCAAGCCCGACACCTTCCAAGGCCTCAAGAACCTCATGCAACTCAACCTGGCTCACAACATCCTGAGAAAGATGCCACCCAAGGTGCCTGCAGCCATTCACCAGCTCTACCTGGACAGCAACAAGATTGAGACCATCCCCAACGGATACTTCAAGGGCTTCCCCAACCTTGCCTTCATTCGCCTTAACTACAACAGGCTGTCAGACAGGGGGCTCCCCAAGAACTCCTTCAACATCTCCAACCTGCTGGTGCTCCATCTGTCCCACAACAAGATCAGCAGTGTGCCTGCCATCAACAACAAGCTGGAACACCTGTATCTCAACAACAACAGCATAGAGAGTGAGTGGGGGCAGGGCCGGGCCATGGCCAGAGAAGTGGAGGCTCTTATTGTCTCAATCCTTTCTAGGAGTTTGGGCCGGGGTGGGGGGTGTAGAACAAAATAGCACCCAGTTTGGCATTGGACTTCAAACCTTGACCTTGCCACTTACTATCTGTGTGACCTTGAACAGATATTTTACCTCTCTGCTACGTTTTCTCATCTGTAAAATGAGAACGGGAGCAATGCCTTCTGTCACAAAGTTGATATGAGGACTTAACAGGGTAATACGGATAAAGTGCCCAGAATACCATGCTTGAAGGATACCAGCTTTTCCTCCTCTGTCCCTTCTTGTCAGCCCCAGCTTCTCTGCCCTCCAGATCTACAGGTAGACAAGGAATGTAGTCCTGGACATTCTCACGAAAGCAGAACAGTAACGTGCTCTGACTATCACTGCTCTGAGATGTCCTGGGCCTGTCCCTTGCACAGGCTGGCAGCTGTGAGAGGAAGGCTGAGCCTAGGCTTTGGAGAATCTCTAAAAGACGTACACAGAAAGGCAGCTCAGGATAGGCAGCTGGTACAAATGCAGCAGCCAGAGAAACACGCCAGCGTGTTTCTGAACCTAGCTGCAAGGCTGGAATATTTAATCATATCAGATAGTACATTTAAGGCAGAATTTGCCCAAACTACATTTATAGGATCCTGAGTTTGGGGGAAAAATCGCAGCCCAGAAGAAAGGGCTGGAAGTCCCAGTTTTGCTTTGATCGATGATGTTGGCTCTGAGCAAAGCATTAACAGAAAGCTTGAAAAACAAGAGAGAATAATTATCTGGTCCTTGAAAAAAAAAGCAGGTTCCATCCACATCAGGAATTTACAGCTCTAGGGTTGCAGGGAACCAAGGGGAAAGGGCAGCAACCCTAAGATAATATTAGGAATCCCCAGTTTCCAAACCAAAGAATGAGAAGATTGTTGAGTTTCTACAATCTTGAAACAAATGGATGGGAGAACAGGCTTATTCATTCATCTGGGACAATTTTTTTGTTTTTGTTTTTGTTTTATTTATTTATGATAGGCACACAGTGAGAGAGAGAGAGGGAGGCAGAGACACAGGCAGAGGGAGAAGCAGGCTCCATGCACCGGGAGCCTGACGTGGGATTCGATCCCGGGTCTCCAGGATCGCGCCCTGGGCCAAAGGCAGGCGCTAAACCGCTGCGCCACCCAGGGATCCCTATTTTTTGTTTTTGTTTTTGTTTTATTTATCATCTGGGATAATTACGTGAAGTAGGGGAAGGCCTTTTTTTAAAGCTGGCAAAAAGCAAATTCTGGGAAAGGGGAAACTAATTTTATCCTGCAGGTAGTAAACTGATGGAAAGTACTACCCTAAAAGCTAGATAAGCCGAAAATCCAGGCAGAAAGAATACCTTTACTCAGAGCACCTGGGTGACTCAGTTGGTTGGGTATCTGCCTTTGGGGTTGGCTCCCTGCTCAGTGCAGAGCCTGCTTCTTCCTCACCCTCTGCCTGCCACTCCACCTGCTTGTGCTCTCTCTCTCACTGTCAAGTAAATAAATTAAATCCTAAGAATCACGTTACTCAGTGGCCAGCAGGTCTCTATCAGTGTGTGGAAGGGCAGGCTGCTAGGGTACATCCAGCTTTTTAAGGCTGAAGTCAGAAAAATCCGCCCCCCCCCCGTGTATAGTGTATATCCCCTGTGCCACACCTGTCTCCTGTGTCACTGATGGACAGAGTGGGCAGAGCTGGCCCTAGAGCAGCTAACCATGTTCTCAGCAATGACCTTAATGCTGCCAACTTCCCTGTCCTTTACAGCCTGCAAAATGCCTTTGCCAATATTCTCTCATCTGAAGTGAGGGACAGGTACCCCTCCCACCATTTCACAGATTTGGGAACTGAATGTCAAGGTGGTAAGGTGACAGTCCAAAAAGTCACAGTGGTCATAAGAACAAAATCCACCTAAGTCAGGGCTCTTTCTGCTACTCCAATGATGGACAGAGAGGAAGAAGAAGACCAAGAAGGAGAAGAACATCACTAACAATGCTGATCCCCCAACGCTGATGAAAGAGGCAAGGTTGAGGGGGAATAAGAAATTCATTCAGAAGATGACATCATTTCATGTGACATCATCTCACCAGAGGTGAAGGAGAAAGTGGAATCTCGCTTTCCATTTGAAAGTCTACCACAAATTGGCTCCTGCTGACCTGTCCGGCTTCTCTCTCCAGTACAGCTCACTGTGCTGTTTACTACTCCTGGGTTCTGCCATGAGCTCTGCTGCCCCTACAACTTCCTTCAAATAGGAGGTCACTCTAGCAAACACCAACCCCCACGTCTCCACCCTGCTGTGGCCCCACCTATCTTTGAAGGTCCAGCTCACAGTTTACTTCCTCTGTGACTCCACAGAGTGAATTCCCAACAGTAATGGTTGATTGGTTCTGACTTAATTCATTCTACAAACAAGTAAAGTAAACCTGGGGGTGGGCAGGCTTGACTCAACCTCGGTGGCACATTCCCAAGGTCAGCCAGTTCCAGAGAAGAGAACTCAAATTCTTATCATCAATTGTCCGCCCCCTTCTCCTTCCTCATCTGCCTCCAGCCCCATCTGTCCCAACCCCCCACCCACCCTACCTGCTGACTTCTCCCTTCTTTCTCCACAGAAATCAATGGGACCCAGATCTGCCCCAACAACCTAGTTGCCTTCCATGACTTCTCCTCAGATCTGGAGAATGTGCCACACCTCCGCTACCTGCGGCTGGATGGGAACCACCTGAAGCCGCCCATCCCGCTGGACCTCATGATGTGCTTCCGCCTGCTGCAGTCCGTGGTCATTTAGGCCTTACTCTGCCACCCAGATCTCCTCTGACCACACTTGAATGCTGGTGACCCGGGTGCCTGTGCCCACCATTCGTGTTCTTTATCTTCCTTTCTCATTGCCAGCTTTGCCTTTCTCATCCCATCTTCCCAAGGCAGGAACTAGCCACACACTCTGCTGCACCTGCAGCTTCTAGAGCAAGTCGTCTAAGGGCTTGATTTGGTTCAGCCAGCTCAAAGACACCCACTGCACACCCACACTTCTGGCACCAGAAGCATAGATGTGTGTCTAAAGACAACTTCTTCTCTCTCCTCCTCTCACTCCTGGGGTAAGTCGGGGCCATGGGCTGATATCTGGAACTTGGTCCTGGTCAAAACAAGGAGAAGGTGGTCAGGAGCAGCCCAGAGGTGAGGTTTTGGAAAGTCCTGCTGCAGACTCCACCATCACAGGCAGCTACGGCCCAAGCGGGCCCCTTAGCCACAGATCACACCTTCTAAAACTGCTGCTCCACCGGCCTGTTCACTGGCACCAGACGTTGCACTGGCTCCCTACCAGCCTGGGTTCTCCAGCAAGGAAGTGTAAGGGAGTGGCTGAAGGACGGTGGAGGGTCAGGGTTCCTCACGAGGACCTGCATCTGGCAGTCTCTTCACAGGGATAGCTGAGCCTCTTCTACTCAAGAGTAAGAGCAGGAAGGAGCGGTCCAGGAGAAGAACCGCTCCAGGAACTAGGGATCAGCCGATGGAGGAGGCGTGGCAGTCAGAGCCCTGGGGATGGGCCCCTGTGGGTGCAGATAGATCTTGCAGCCCCCTTGCCAGTCTGGACAAGAGGCCTGATGCCCTGAGCAACACAGTGTCCATAGTGAGGGGTACAGAGCCACCAGCCCAGCCCACCATCTGTTCTCTATCAATGTGGTGGCCCAATCCTGTCCAAAGCCCGGAAGCAGTTCCTGAGAAAGTGCTCTCAAAGGGGCGGAGCCCCCGGGGGTAGAAGCCTGTTGCGCCGTGCACAGCCGGGCTTCCCCGGCTAAGGCAGATGCATCAGTGACACCTGGTGGCTGGTACAGGTCACAGCTGGCTCCTGTCTTCTTGCCTGTCTTCAGGATGGTTTTACAAGGTTAAGGAGCTGGCCTCAGGTTCCAGCTTGAAGAGCCATGGGTCATGTGTGTGGTGTCTCCTCTGGGGTGTACAGGGTGCAAAGGTACTGGTGGCCTTGAGGCCGGGGGGTGGGGGGCTGGTTCCCATCACAAGTGAGCACAAATGGGAACCTTCAGGAACCCAGGCGAGGATGTAGTTTCTTCCTGTGTGCTGTCTGACCTTGTGGTCCCTCTAACTTCTGCCCCCACATCTGGATCCCAGATCTCTCCAGCATTCACAGTCTGGTCTGTGGCTCCACTCCCTAAACCACACTCGAATTATCTACTATCCCTGCCACTTGCAGTAAGTTATTCCCTATACGGACCATCCCTCCCCTTGAAGATCCACCACCCCACCCCACCTGGGCCAGGTGAGTGGCTTGGCAGGCCTCCAAGCAGAGCCTGGGTCCCATAGGGCTCATTCATCTTCATTCCTCTAGGGAATGTTGCCCCTCTATAGCTCCCTAGAGTATATGTTGGGGAGTGGGGGGAGGTGGATGCTCTAGAAATAAGTAGGACACAGTGCCCACCCTCATTAGGCTGAGAAACATTCCAGAGATTTTTAAGAAATTAGGTTAAGCTAGGACCCTAACCTCAAGAAATTCCCACAGAAGTCTCTCTCCTTTCTCTTTTGCTCATTTACAGAAAACAGGGTCCATTTCCCCTTAGCGTCTTTCCCCATGCTCCCCTCTAGCTGCCGATCCTTCCCAGCTACTGCTGGTTTCTCCAAGGCTCCTGTTGAAAGTCAATATATTATTGTGGCTGTAGGCAACCTGGTACTGAAGCCTGGATAAGCCCCCACTTCTGCACCAAACTCGCACTTTGCAATCTCTGCCCCTCGGACGAGGCCCTCAGGGGAGCACAGCTCCTGGGGTTCCTTGAGGGCAGGGGGCATTTCTGCTCCTGCAAAATCTAAATTGTTTTGTTTCAGCAGCAAAACATCCCCATCATCCCATTGCCCCATCTAGATGCAGTCTGCTTCCGCGTTGCTCCCTGCAGCTGTAAGCCAGAGGGGATTCAGGGGAAGTTCACTTTGCAGCAAATCCTCTACTCCCCTCTGCCCAGTGCTGACTTCCCTTGGATTTCAGGAAGCCCCGCCTCCATAAGCAAGTTCATTCTCTCGGTGCCATTGGCATCTACGCAGACAGGTGTGTGAGTAGATGTGTAGGTTACTCTACTGCATCTGTTCTTCCTTCAGAACCATGTTCACTTTGTGAAACAACTTTTACACTCCAACACGCTTTACAGCAGAAGGAATAAAGGAATATGAAAAATATCCTGCTTGAACTTGACGGTGTGAGCAAGCTGAGAATACCCTGAGGTTATCTTGCTACCCCTCCCCTCCCACGCCCCCCCCCCCCTGCCTCTTACCTGGCTCCAAGGACGTGGATGGAGAAAGGCTCCTAAGAAACTCTTAAGAAAACAATTCCAAAGTCTTTCCTTGGCAAATTTGCCCTGAATCACAACTGTCAGGAAAAATTATTCCTAAAGTCGATCAGAAATCTGATAGCTGCATTTGAAGCCCAGAGGCTCAGAGTCTTTCAAACCACAGATATCAAATCGTTGAGGGTCTCCGAAATGCTCAGTCTGGAGCCAGATTCAGAAAGACACAAAATAATTCTCCACCGAGTGAAACTTGCAATCTAGTTCCAGAGCCACAGCAAGAAAGACAAATTAGTGACAGAACTGGAACAAGGGCGAGGAACAAAGTTCTACAGGCCATGCGGAAGGGCATGAACCAGGTGCCCGGAAGTCTGTCTTCAGGCAGAAGGCTGATTCCAGAAGTGGGTTTAGGATCCCCTCAGCCTACACCATTTTCTTTAGAATGAAAACTGCCCGATGCTGCCCTACTGCTCCCACTCTGCCTCCTTAATACCTGCTTTAGTTCAGCTCAGCAGGTTTTCAGCGGACATCGACTGTGTGCACGGTGGCCAGCTAAGAATTCAAGGAGAGGTAATATCCTTGTCTGTACCCTTGAGGGATTCTTAGCTTGGGAAAGGGGAAAGTCCGTGGAGTAATCCCGCATCCTGAGTGTGTAGTAGCGCAGCATACAAAGAGCCTGGTGGAGAGGTCCTCTACCCCCGTGGAGGGACACCAGAATGATTCCTAACATTTGAGCTGGATCTTCAGGTGAGGGAAGGAGGGGGAAAAAGCATATAACCAGGAGATGAAACAGCATGAGCCAAAAGGGAGTATACCCTGCAGTTGTGTGTGTGTGTGTGTGTGTGTGTGTGTGTACACGCCTGAGGAAGAGAGAGGAATGTGTTTAGGTTACAGAGTTATGTGGCTACAAGCCCTCAGCAGGGAATATATCCCTGTCGTCCAAAAAGCAGGAGGGTTCCTGAAATTTCCAAGCCTGCCCATGAAAGGGGCAGCAACAGGGTCAGCTGGCCAGACTCCTGTCCCCACAGCCTGCCACCTCCTTTCCATCAGCAGGCCTTGTGCTTCTCCTAATGAGACACAGGGATTAGAAGGGCACCTGCACCTCAGGCGCCCTTGTGCATGCTCCCAGGATGCTGAGCTGCATGCCACAATGGCATGATGGTTAGTGGGTTCCCACACAGGTCACACACGCGTGCCATGGACAGTCCCCAATCTCCATAGGAACTAGAGCGTGTGACGGGCAAGCTTGTAAGTGTGAGACTGGAAGCTGGGAGAGGGTCTGCGATGTGACTTCTGCTTCAAAGGGGCTCTTTCCTAGGGTGCAGGGGAGCCTGTGCATGCACCCTAGAGGAGCCTGGCTGTGCCTGTGGCCTGCAGAGCTTGAAAAGGCGTGGGGAGGACCATTTGAAGTGCTTGTTGCTGAGAAAGGGGGGAAGAAGAGTGGGAACAGGCAGGGAGGATGAATGAACAGTCGCATTTGCTTTCCTCACAGGGAATAAATGTTGTGGGATGGGAAGGGGAGCTGAGCCCAGCCTGACTGGGGGATGGGGGAAGGCCTGCAAAGCCCAGGCTGTGGAAAGAAAGTCAGAGAGGACAGTGTGCCAAGTGTACCATCTGCTTCCTGGGCACCCTGCTGGCTCCAGGGCTATCTCTCTCTTCACCCAGCAGAGCCTCTGTTGCTGCCTCTCCCCAGATGGTGGGCTGCCAGGGGCACGGGAATGTATGTTCCTGTGGTGACCAGGGGGATGCCACCCCCTCACCAGCTGGTGCCCAGGGACGTTGCAGGCCAAGACTGCACCTCTGGCCGGGCTATGCGATCTGCCCCTTCACCTGGTGTGCCAGGGCAGAAAGGAGTCTTGCCAAAGCCATCTGTTCTGAGGGCATCTAGGCACATGGTCTTGGAGCTGGGGTGGGTAGGGTCGGGGAGATAAGGGGGAAAGGGCCAGGGTCCTATGAACAAAGGACAACTCTCTCTAGACAAATCTAGGCCCCCGCACTGGCTTTGTGTGACCTTGGAACTCACTGCACCCAGCTGGACCCACATTTCCCGTCTGTTGGATCACACCCTGCTGCTTGGGACTAGATGATCTTCGGGGGCTTCATAGTCAGGATTCAGTATCTGGTCAGGGGGAGGGAATAGGGAGCAAGGGGCAGCACTGAGGAACACCTCTGGCAAACACACAGACCCTTCCACTCCTGCCTTCACACAACAGCCTGACAAACCAAGGAAAAGACAATGTCTCCTATACAGACATCTTTGACAGGGGATGGGGGTGAAGAAGATTCTTCTCAGCCCCCTGTGGACCTCCCCAGTGGCTCCTGGTGTGCATGTCCGGAGTGCACCGTGCACCTCAGTGGATGGAGAGCGTTTCTTGTATACTCCTTGCCATCATCATCATCATCATCATCATCATCATCATCATCGGGGAACTAGATGATCTTCGAGATCCGCTTCATCCACGTTCACTTTCTCGTGGAAGAACCGCCCCAGCCTGCAGAGCCTCCCCCTGGTGATTCTTGTTGGGGCCCCAGGTGGTGGGTGGCAGTGTGCTCAAAGTGCCTTAAGTTGGCCTCTTGGAATTTTTGGATTCTGTCTGAAAAAAAGCTAGAAAGGTAAACCCCATCCCTGTCAGTGCTCCATCACCCGCTGCTGCTCCCTTAGAGATAAGGAACTGTCAGCCCCTTGAAGAAACGCCTAGAGAAGAGAAGAGGAGCTGACGGAGAAAGAGAAGGAGAGAGGAGGGGGAGAGGGAGAGAGAGAATTCCTTCTCACCAGACACAAGGATAAGACGGGGACCCCGCTGAGCAAAGAGGAGGGGAAACAGCTGGACACCGGGCAGAAGAGAAGTCTGATTGGCCTTGGCCGCCTCAGCCCAGCTCCCTGGCCATACCCTGGCCCACTGCGCACAACCTTTCCGCCAGAGTCCCCACTTCTCTAGAAGCTGCGAGGGGAGGCTCAGTTCCGGAGCAGGAGGATGGGAGTACCTGCAGGGTAAGGTTCACAGTTTGAGGCTTTGGGCCCACCTGGATGCAAACGAAGGGTTAGGGTGCTGGGCTGGCAGATGCAGCTGAGGAAGAAGGGAGGGAGTTTAGGGCTCCTGGCAGGGAACTTGGAGGGAAGGGATGGGGGAAGGCTCTGATGGAGGGCTCCTTGTTGCTGCTGCAGAGGGCTTCCCCTAGCCCAGCTAAATGAATAGAGCGGGAGAATCCCGCTCATGAGGCACTGATGCAGCTGGCTTTGGGGAGGACTCCACTACCAGAGACACACCGGGTCCCTCACACCCACACCACACACATTTCCTCCCCTGCCTGCCCATGTGTGCACACATGTACACATGCTCATCACATGCTCACGGGCCCATCACGCACATACATACTCACCTGTGCACACACCCAGAGACCCAGGGGACTCGGGACGTGTATGTACTACCACAACCACATTGCAAGAACACTTGGTTTCCTGTAATCATTAGTCACTAAAAAGCTGCATTTAGAAAGTATATTTTATAAACATTCTTTTTTAGATTATACATTAGTTTTTAAACACAGGTGCTCCGAATGCACTCTCATTAGATGTGCCCTATTTATTTCTGCATACCTCTGCCGCCCGGAGATAAGTGCAGTGCCTGGGAACCTAATAGACATGCCATAAATGTTTGTTGAGTGAATGAATAATTTTTTCTTTTTTTTTTTTAAAGATTTTATTTATTCATGAGAGACACACAGAGAGAGGCAGAGACTCAGGCAGAGGGAGAAGCAGGCTCCACGCAGGGAGCCCGATGTGGGACTCGATCCCGGAACTCTGGGATCACCCCCTGGGCCAAATGCAGATGCTCAACCACTGAGCAACCCAGGGGCTCCTGAATTATCTTTTAAAAAGCCACAAGACTTCTTGATGATGAAGTTTATCTAAATCTAGCTGAGTGACTAATGGTTGTACTCTGTGTGTGTGGCTGTATAAGAGAGAACATCCGTAGACGTGCACGAGAATGTGCCTGATCAGGAGGGGGGTGGGCAGACTAGGAAACAGGCACGCGAGGAGCAAACGAGCTTTTGCCAGGTGTCTACACACGCCTGTGTGAGTGAATACAAGTGTGGGTGGGAGCATTTAGGCACTAACGTGGGGGTGGTGGTGGGAGGGGCTGCCGGGAGATGCTCTCCCACCCCCAGACATAACCCCAGCCTTTAGGGGGTTTGCACCTGCAATGAACACGCTGAGTGTACAAGGAATGGCCTGAGTTTGCAAGTGTGGGAATGGGAAGCAGGGTGAGTCTGTGAACTGTTCCCACGACGCTCGAGAGAGAGCCCTGCCTCTTTGTCGCCCTTCCTCCTGCCCTGTCCCCAGGACTGGACGCTGAGGTGATTCGACCCCATCCTCGCTTCTGCTGCCACCTGCTCCCAGGGCCCCCATGAAGCTCCCAGCGTTTCTGAGCCTGCTGGCCCTGGTGCTGCTGGAAGCGGGGACAGCTTCTCTCCCCAAGGAGAGGAAGCGGAGAGATGAGATGCACGGGGAAGGTGATTCTTATGTGGTCCTGGGGAACTATGTCCTGGGCCCGGACAACTATGATGAGGTCATTGACCTCAGCGACTACGAGGGGCTCATGGACTACGGGGACCAGCTCCCTGAGGTAAGGGCACGACAGCAGACTGGCGCTGTTCCCTGTAAGACGCTGAGCATCGGAGGCCTGGCCCCTTGCCAGCTGCCCACCGTGTAGGTGTTTCAAGCCTCCTCCTCTCTCCCCAGGAGGTGGAAATTCTGGTCCCTCCCTAAGAACTTGTCACTTATGGGATCCCTGGGTGGCGCAGCGGTTTGGCGCCTGCCTTTGGCCCAGGGCGCGATCCTGGAGACCCGGGATCGAATCCCACATCGGGCTCCCGGTGCATGGAGCCTGCTTCTCCCTCTGCCTGTGTCTCTGCCTCTCTCTCTCTCTCTCTCTGTGACTATCATAAATAAAAATAATAAAAACCATATCCTCTGCATTTAAAAAAAAAAACTTGTCACTTAGATGACACTAAGAAACAGGACAACAAACGTTCAAGTTTTTTGTTGGTTTGTAGTAAACTTGGTGGGACACCCCGCCCTTCAAAGTCATGTATCTGTCCTGATGCCTTTAAGGAAGATCATAAGCCGCATCTCACTGGGAAGGGGGTCGGCCTTGTCTTCATCCTCTCGTTAGAAAAAGAAGCTCTGCCACCCCATCTGCTCTTATGCTGTCTTCTGGTCTGAAGCTTTTTCCTGGCCCTTTCTTGCCTTCCAAGGGGCTGAACTGGAGCCTGCACCCATTAGCTGCGTGAGCTTGGTCAGTGCTGGGCAAGGGGAAGCACGCTGGCCTGGGTGATCCAGAGATGTGGATTCTAGCTCTGGCACAGCAGGGCTGCCAGCTGCCTGCCTCCTTGATCCTCAGTGCTCCCTGGGTCCATTTCCTTCTCCATATAGGGAAGATGTTGGATCCCCTGGTCTTTAGAAAGTTCCCTTCTGGGGCACCTGGGTGGCTCAGTTGGTTAAGCCTCTTCGTTTGCTCAGGTCATGATCCTGGGGTCCCGGCACCAGAGCAGGGAACCTGCCTCTCCCTCTGTCCCTTCCCCTGCTTGTGTTCTCTTTCTCTCTCTCAAATAAATAAATAAATAAATAAAATCTTTTTAAAATTTTAAAAAAGAAGTTCCCTTCCTTCCTCCCTCTTTCTCCAACAGTGACTCTTTGCAAATGTAAAACTAGTCACTGAGGTCCCCAGAGTTCAAAGTAAAGTCCTTTCTCAGGCAAAAACCTGGCCAAGTGTGTGCTGTGTGCTACGTCTCCAGGCTAAAGTGACCAACCTGGCTCCTCCAACCGGGATCAGTTCTGCTCAGAGCACAATGACTCCAAGGACCCTATCTTTGAAGCCCACGATGATCAGGCCTACGGAGCTGGGCGTCCTGGGCTCCCCAAACAGCCACGGTGAGTCCACGGTCACAGGACTCAACATGCAAAGGTCAGAGGATCTGCAGTCATGACCCAGCCCCCAGGCCTCCCACAGTGAAGTGTGGTCAGGGTAGGGAGTAGAGGGTCAGCGCTAGCCCTCACTGTAAGGGAGAGGAGGAGAAATAGCCACGGTAAGAAACAGAAAGGAAACCTAAGGTTTTGGGCTGTATGTACAAACTGGATGGGATGGAGGAAAAAGGCAAGGACTCTGCTAAGCCTAGCAGAGCCACCCTACCTTAATTAATAGCATCACTACGGGAGCAGGTTGAATGGTAATTAGATTAGAGACAATTAAAAGCCTGTCGAGAAGAATAAATAACATTGTGGCTGTCACTTGGCATGGAGGCAAATGAAGCAGTCATACTGCTTTTCAGTTCTAAATTCCCTCTTTAGTAGCATTTTCCCCTTCCTGACACCCTCCTGGAGGCTGGGATGCTGGCATAGCTGGCAATAAGGGGGTGGCACTCTGCTGGGGATCAGGCCTGAAGCAGAGGAGGGATGCAGTTAATTCCTGACCTGCTGGTCCCCGGTTCCTATTCTCTTGAGATATTTGCCTTGGGTGGACCTTGGGTATTGGGGCATCAGTAGGAATCCATGACCTCTAGAGCTACAGAATCCCAGGCTTCCCAGGACTGCAAAGGGCCTCAGCTGGACCTGCCATTCAAGGCATTGGGATAAGAAGGACACTGAGCTCCTCTCTGCCCCACCTACACTAGTCACTGCCTGCAAAAAAGAGCTGCCTCTTTATCTCGGGGATGTGTCCCTGTTAACCAATTTCCCCTTCGAGCTGTACTGGCGGTGGTCTCCCATAATCTCTGTCCCTTGTAATGACACATGATGGAAACCACACGCGTTCTTCAGTGGTATGAGCCAGTGGTGCCTCCCAATTTTTTAAAGCCAGTTTGGGTTTGATGGCCTGGCCTGTGTCTAATGACCACTGGTCATGGAATGAGACCAGTAGAGAGCTGTTTCCCAACAGAATACTGGGATGCTGATAAGAAGGGAAAATGTATTCCACTCCATCAAAAGCCACTCCATCGTGGCTCTATTGCATTTCTTGGAGCCATACAGAACATGTCTTACTCCTCACCCAAAAGGCAGCTGGCACCCAAAAGGAGCCAGCAACCATGGGCCATTCCACTTAATTCTGGCTTTATTTCATTGTCAGTGTGCCTTGGGGGACCAGAGAGGAGCCCCATGGAAAAGAAACCAATGGATGTCCTAGAAACACCCACATAGGTCCAGGAAAACCTACATATAGGACTGGAGCCTGATAAAAGCACCCGTGAGCCAGGACTGGGTAGTACCTGGGAACGGATCTGAGTGCCAGGCTGGGAGCAGCCAGCAGCACTGCCCTAGTGCATCGTGACCCTCAGTTCTGTCCAGGGCTCAGACACTCCCTGGAGTGAGGGCCGTTGGTCCCAGAGGCTAAAGGAAGTCTAAGAAGGGTCTCCCTTTGTTCTGTCTCCCACCTGGGCCAGGCCTGCCCACCTGTCTCATCTGCGTGTGCCTTGGCTCCTCCGTGTACTGTGATGATGCTGACCTGGAGAACATCCCTCCTCTCCCCAAGACAACCACTTACCTGTATGCCCGCTTCAACCGCATCCGCCGGATTCGAGCTGGAGACTTCAAGGGGCTGAGTATGCAGTGCCCTGGCAGAAGAGGGGGGATGGGCCTGGCATGGGGGTGCCCCAGGGCCATCTGCCTTGCCACTCAGCCACATGAATAGTCCCAGACACAGTGTCCCACCTGAGGTAGCCTTTCCCTGTTAGTTTTCATTCTCTCCAGCTACCAAGTGGAAATAGCCCGAAGTCTCTCTAATTCCTTCCCTTGAAGATTTTGGATAATAAAAGTGTTCTGTTCCCTTCAAAGCTCTGGAAAGCTGGGAAGGGGGAGATATGATCAAGCCTACATTTTCAGGATTCCAAGCTACTGTAGCTCTGTGCCCTCCTGGGTTCTGACTCCACAGCACTGACACTGTTTACCTGCTTGTTGTTTGTTGTCTATTTTGCTCCTTATGCCCCACCTCGAATAGGAGACCTGGGCTCTCACCTAGATTCCGTCACTAATTCTCACAGCCCTCTGGGCTATCGCATCTTTTTGTGTAAACTAATGGTAAAGGGTGGGGGTGGGATGGGTCCAGGGGTTGGTGGGCCCGTTGGATCTCACTCTCTACCAAACCCATCCAAGGTGGGCAGCCACCACTCAGGGCAGAACTCCATGGGCAAGCACTGCAGCATCTGAGGGCTTTCCTACAGGGTCCTGGTTGATAACATTATTTCTTCCAGCTTGGACCTCATCCAGGTGGAGAACTGGCTGGCATGCCCTGTCCTAAAAGGGATGGAGTAGGGGACAGGCGGGTCCAGCAAGGGCAAGGAAAGGTGGCATGTGCTGTGTCTCCGTGTTCTCCCCGTGCCCCACAGCAAAGCTGAAGAGAATTGACCTTTCCAGCAATTCCATCTCCTCCATTGATGACGACGCCCTCCGCCTGCTGCCCGCCCTGCAGGACCTGATCCTCCCAGAGAACCAGCTGGCAGCCCTGCCTGTGCTGCCCCCTGCCATTGAGGTGCTGGATGCCCGCCACAACCAGCTCCAGAGTTCAGGGATACAGCCTGAGGCTCTCAGGGTGAGCCTATCCGCACACACCAGGCCCTCATGGGCTATCCCTGCTCTGACCCTGTTCAGGGTGTGAAAATCAAACCCCATTTTCTTCATCTGTTCCCATTTGTTTTATTAACCTTTTGTTGTTGTTGTTGTTGTTGTTGTTGTTGCAAGAGACTGACTCTGACTCAAAAAAAAAGGGGGGGGGTGTTGTTTAACAACATCCTAGCCCAAGAACCTCCAGGAGAAGGAAGTTCTGGCTTCGTGGGCCTGTTACAGGAGATGGGGGGTGGGTGCTGCCAGAAGCCAAGGTCAGCAGCTCTCACTGTCCCTCTTCTGGGCATGTGGCCTCTTGGCCTCTTTCCGCACGTCCACTCCATCCACCTGTCTGCACCCTCAGCTTCTGCCCCCCTAAAACATTGGCTAGCATGTGACTTGCAGCCCTGCCAGATCCGACTCTAACTCCACGGGAACTTTTCCTCCCCACCACTAGCTGACTGATCACCATCTTTCTGTGAGCAAGTGCTTGAGGAGACCGTCTGACTGTTGCTGGCTGGCCGGTGCTGACGGGAAGGGCAGCTGACCCAGGGCACGAGTCAGGCCCCTGCGGCTGCCCGCTTCACGGGGCTGGGATGAGCTCCAGGAGCAGTCCCGTGAGGAAATGAACAGGGGTGTGGACAAGCCTGCCCCCCAGTTCTGCCACACTCTCCCACTTGGCCTCCTGTGTGCCCGTGGCCATCATTCTGCTGCTCTGGATGTCTCCTGAACACGCTCCTCACAGCCGTTCCTGGTTTAGCGTTTGGAGACTTTTCATTTAGGAAAAATGCCTTCTGCTAGCAGAAAAGTTGAGGCTGGAGTGAGGCTGGTCCCCTCGTCCTCCCTCCCACCCCGTCCCTGCCGGCCCTTGCCCTGCTCCTCATCAGCAGCCGACCAGCTCCCCCATGCTCCCTCGGCTGCCAGATCTCAATGGCAACTGCAGTCCCTCTACCTCTGGTGGGAGTTAGTGCCTGGGAGCTCTGGAGAGACTGGGCATCCCCTGCAGCACCCAGTACCGAGCCTGGCATGGGGCTGAGGCTCGGGAAACCCCTCAGTGAATGAATAGAGTCACATCAGGCGCCCCTCACTGCCTGGTCCAGCAGCGCTGGCCAGCCTCCTGTGCCCTCTGCCTCCTCCCTAGGCACTAGAGAAGCTGCAGTTCCTCTACCTGGCTGACAACCTTCTGGACTCCATCCCTGGGCCTCTGCCCCCAAGCCTGCGTTCGCTGCATTTGCAGGTAAGCAGCCTCCCCAGGAGCAAGAACATTGAGTAGAGCTGGGGAGGGGAGGGGGGGCAGATAACCAGGAGCATCTTTAGGGAGTAGGGGCAAGCACCTCCTTCACTGGGAGCTTCCTGGAAACAGGGATGGGAGATCTTGCCCAGGCCATTGTCCACAGGCTCAGTGGGTCCGCCTTCCTTTCCTTCTCCTAAAAATGCTTCCTGTCCCTCCATGTCCTACATCCCATCTCACCTGACTACTTGCTCCTTCCCTGCCTCCCTTCCCCTCTGTCTCCTTCTCCTCTCTTGTCTCTCTTACTCTCTCCCCTTGCTCTTGATCCAGCCTCCAGGGGCCACCTCTCCTCCCTCCTTTGCTGCATGGCCTTTCATGGCCCATAAGGGCCTCAGTTTCTCCACTCTCAAGAGGGGAATTGGTGGGGGGAGCTCACCGATCTGCCTTCAGTAATGCCTGAGGGCCCTCTCCAGGCATAGGCTTGGCAGCTGTCAGTGTGTTCTTTCCAGAATAACATGATAGAGACCATGCAGAGAGACGCCTTCTGTGACCCCGAGGAGCACAAACACAGCCGGAGGCGGCTGGAAGACATCCGCCTGGATGGCAATCCCATCAACCTGGGCCTCTTCCCCAGCGCCTACTTCTGCCTGCCTCGGCTCCCCACGGGCCACTGCTGCTAGCTCACGGCTCCCAGCTCACGGCTCCCCACTCCCCGGCAAGGGGCCTCACCACCTGCCAAAGGCACAGACTGCCTCCACCTCCACAGGGTGTCCTTTGTTCACAGGGGAATCAGCCTCCGGAGCCAACTGCAAAACTCACCCCCACTCCCTTCCTCCACCTGCTACACCCGAGCACACACACATACACACAGATACACACCCACAGGCATGTACATATACACAGACATATAGACATATACACAGAGACAGACATACACGCATAGACACACAGACACATACATGTACGCAGACACACCGATGCACAGACACACACACACGTAGACATACACACGTGTGCATGTGCAGAATGTCCTTCAGTAACCAAATTTGCATTTCTCATCCTCTTTCCTGCTAAGGAAAACCTTACGGCTCCTGACTCAGAGAAAAGTAGCATCTGCAGCAAAGCTCATTCCCATATTCCCCATCCCTCCTACCCACACAGAATGTCAGGAAGTCATGGAAGAGGAAGAGGAGAAGAAAAGGAGGAAGCGGGAGAAGCAGTGGCATGCTTTAGCCAGCTCTTACTACAAGGCTTCCAGAACCAATTATTACATCTCCCAGAATTTTATACGCCAGTCATTAAACACAGCTTTCATTAAAGATTAAATTATAAGCTTGCATTTAAATATATGATGTTGCAAATAAACGTAATAAATACTCAGACTCCTTACTTCCCAATTATTGTACTAGCAACCATGTTCTTGAACTTATTTATGTCTATGACATACTATGTAATGACATGCCCTTTGTGCTCATCGCTCCCCAACGACACTCTCGGTGACATCACCTTGGTAGTTTGAAGTTGGCCATGGTGGGAGTATTTGCAGCACGGTTATCAGTAAAGGCTACACGCTGGGATCCTTCGAGAAGGGGGGGGGAGAGGGAGGGGGGAGAGAGGAGGGTGGAGAGAGAGAGAGAGGGAGAGCTGGTTGTTAAGTTTTGCCAGCGCACCACTGAGGAGCTGTTTCACCCACTAGGGGTAGGTTGTGGTTTCCACGGGGCTTGCTTTATTTTCTTGCTCTTCTAAGTTAAGGGCTTCCTGTTAGATTTGGAGGGAGCCATTCGTCAGGATGGAGACTGACAGGAATCTTGACCTGGATGCCCCATGTGTAGCCCTTACCTGTTCCTGGCTCACTGGACCAACCAGAGGGTTTCTATCCTTACCGCGCTCTCTTCCATGGTTAACCGCCAGAGGGAAGCCGCGCGCAAAGACAAAAACAAAGCGATTACTCGCTTGCACCCTTGGCTTCTGGGCGAGGCCTGCTGTGATGGGAGATGGGAAGAAGGCCAACTATGATCTAGGTGACTTGTTCCTTGAATTATAAGGAGAGGAGAGATGTCACCCTTCTCCTTATAAGGAGATGTTGGGTAAGGGGGATGTAATAGATGGGAGCTTGGCATCAGGCGTTGGCCGAAGCATAGAAGAGGGTTGAGGCCGGCAATTTTGTTGAGCACCTGCTTGCCATGTGCCAGGCACTGTGTTATATGCTGGTGGTAAGATGATGTGGAGGCCGAGAAAATTAGGGCCATTCAAGTTTAACATTGGCACAAGTACAGCCATTGTAGCTTTGGCAGCCATCTCAGGCCACTGTGACCAGGTACTGAACTGGACCTTACCCCGGCTACAGGCAAAATCACCAAGCACGCCCTTATCAGAATAAGGAAGCAAGAGCTTGTGAGGCCTCTTTACTGGAGATTCTCACCCCCCTACCCTTACTGAAAAACCCCGCCTTACCCCTAGACCAGCCCATAAAAACCCAGCTGTAACCCACCTCAGGGCCCAAGTCCCTGCTCTGCTATGTCAGGTATACTTGGACCCAAGCTCGAGCTTGTTAATAAACTCATGTACTTTGCATCGGTGTCGGCTCCTTGGTGGTTTTCTCGGATTCGCAATCTTGGGCACAACGGTGACATACTTTTCCTCATGGAGCTTAGAGTCTGGCACAGGAAATACATGTGCAAAAAACAGTCACACAACCACTCTGTACAGCTCATGACACAGACAATAGGAGGAATCTACCAAATGCTATGAGAGCTTAGAGCAGGGAGACCCAGTCTGATTTTCCAGCAGATCATCTAAGCTAAAACCTGAGGGTGAAATAAGAGTTAGTTAGCCAGGCACTCTGTTGCCAAGGCAATCACTCAAGGTGGGGGCGAGGGGTTGGTTCCCCAAGTCTGGGACAGGGGGCAGGTATACGTCCTGAGGCCCACATGGAAGCTATTGCACTTGCCGGCGTCCCCTGCATGTCTAGTACCTCTCCAAGGACTTCGGATACTCAAGATGGTCCTGGAAGCAGAAAAATCAGGGATTATTAGTCACATTCCTGAGATGAAGAAATCAAGAACCCCAGAAGATAAAAGCACTTACCAGAGCTCACATGGCTAGCTGAGGTTTGGATGGAGATGCAACCCACAGACCACAAATGGAGTGGGATGTCTTAAAGGTGAGGGGTGTCCCAGTTGGTCTCGCACTGCCTGTTCCCTCTCTCCTAGAGATCCAGGGATTCGGCACACCTGGGGCTGGGCAAACAGTGAGCCAATAGCTTCTCGCTTTTCCGAACAGCAGAGAACAGTAGAATTTCAGAACAGCAAAGTTCTGGCCCTTCCTCTTCCTGTCTTCCAAGGAGCTTGCTACACTAGGAGGGCTCGCTCTCGCTCTCTCTCTCTCTCTCTCTCTCTTGCTCTCTCTCATCTGCAAGTCCTATCTTCCTCCACATCCTGGCTTTATTGGATTACGACAAGGCCTAGGCATGCAACCACTGAAAGCCTCAAGATCCCCAACTGCAAGGAACCCTGTGATGAAAAAAACCCCAGAAAATTTTCTAGAACTAGAGCTCCTGGGTGCTAGAAAGCACATCATACCCACGTGCCCCTAGGTTAATCTGTGTTGACAGAGAAAGTCATCTGACCCCCCACACACCACACTGTAGGGCAGAGAAGGGGATGATAATTCCTGGACTCCTGGAATTTGCCCGATACCATAATAGAAGCTATTATGCACATCAACTCACTGGATCCCAAGAACAACCCTAGAAAGTAGGGATGTCTACCCCACGCTGGAGAAGAGGCAAGAGGCAACAGGCTTACAGAAAGGCAGTGGCCCATATGAACAGAACAGTTAAGTGGCAGAGCCAGGATTCAAAACCGGGTCCCTCTTGACACAGGGTCCCAAGTCCTGCTCTTACACTTCACTCAGGCAGGCAGGCACAGGCGCTGTTTTCAAAGCCAGTGGCAGAAGGCAGCTCCTGATGGCTGTTTCCCTGAGGTTCCTACTCAGGGCAGGATCTCCCTGGGGACCTGCTGCCTGTGCAGCTGTCTCCTCGCTAATCTCCAGTGTGGGGCTAGGGAAACCCAAGGAATAGAAAGAATGTTGGCTGCCTCCCTGAAGTCTGTCCCCAGGCTCCTCCGGAATCTAGAGAGGGGATGGGCCAGGAGAGAAATCCAAGGCTGCTCCCAGCAGCTGTTGCATCCTAACGAGAAGGATCTAGGCCTCTGACTTCTCAGGGGCCTAAAGCAGGTGGGGTCAGGCTCCTGGCCAGAGAGAGGAGAGCACCTCTTTACCCAGAGCGAGGCTCTGCTGTCCTGCTGAATGGCAAAGAGTGAGAGTGGATGGGAGTCTGGGGAAGGGACCCTGGTGGGGAGAGACGGTAGTTAGGCACGATGACTGCCTCACTGCCAGTGAGCAGTCTGAGGTTGGCTTAAAACCCAGCCCTTCCAACAGCAGGACTTTCCAAGCCTCAACTCACCTGGCTTGTGAGTGGCCATCGTACCTGTGCTCAACCTTGCTCTGGTGGCCATCCTGCCAGCCCTGTAGGGAGAAGCACCTCTTCCGTCTTCAGCACCCCAGGGCCTTCAGACTTCTGCCCTGCCCTGTTCTGTAAGGGTCCTGGGAGGAGGTAGGGGACACCTGCATCCGGACTGCCTCTGCCTGCCTGTCCTCAGCTCCACAGCAAGGCCAGGGCCAGAGGGGACTGATGGGGAATGGAGGGTACCGGGGAGTGCTTGCTCCTCCTCTGACGCTACCCAGACATTCTTCCTCCAGCCTTTTCCCTCAGTCTCCTCCCTGAATAATAATCTCTTCTGCTTTTGCTGTGGATTTGCAGTCTACTGAGAGCTCTTTTACATATGGGATCTAATTTATAGTCCCACCAACTCGGTGAGGAAGGTATTATTATTATTTGTACTTTCCAGATAGAATATGGGAGGCTCAGGGATTTGTGCAAGAGAAAGATGACTCAACATATAGGAAGGCAAGACTGGGGGCACCTGGCTGGCTCAGGCGCAAGAGCGTGAGACTTTTGATCTCTGGGTGGTGTGTTCGAGCCCCACGTGGAGTAAAGAGATTACTTAAATAAATAAAATTTTGAAAAGAAAAAGAAAAAACAAGATTGAGGGTGGGGGGAGAACACCATCATTTCTTGGGATCTCCTGCATGAGAAACGGAAATCTCATCCCCAGCTGCTGGAGCAAAGGATGAGCCCCCTCCCTCCCCAGCCCCCAGGGGCTCCTAAACCAGCAAGGAGTGGGGAGAGCATCTCGGGGCTGAAAAGATGGGAGCAGTCCACAGAGCTGGGTCCTGAGCCTGCCTCAAGGCGGCAGAGCCTGGCTTCTGATGGAGGGCATGAGGCGGCAGTGGCTTCTGAGGATCTGAGCTCAGGAAAGCCCCAGGCTCAAGGACGCGCTGCCCCCATCTCGCCCCCACCCCGCAGGCCGTGGGCGACCCAGCACCCCATGGTCTGCGTCCTTGTGGCTCTGGCCAGAGGGAGGGAGGCAGACAGGGCTGACGGGAGGTAGACCGGGCTCTGCCCCACCCCCAACTGTCTGGAGCTCTCCTCCCTCCTCGCCTCCTCCCTCCCCCAGGCGACAGTCATGCCCCTGCTCTCTCTCAAGGTTGTCTCTGGCTGGACCAGCGTCACCTTCCTCGGTGGGCAGCCACTGTCTATTCTCACTTGTCCCCTCCTCGGTGGCTGCCAGCCAGGGGCTGGGGCTCTTTACAGAGGCAGGACGTGGCTTTTTCTCCACCTCTCCCGTGACTCCCTTCTCCTCCAGGGGTGACAAAGCAGCCAAAGGACCACCTTCTTGCTGCTTCACTTCAGTGAACTCTCCAAACTCATGCCTCCTTGTCTTTACACCAACCATTCTGTGCATCCCTCCCAGACGGGGCCAAACCTGTGGTCCTGGGCATGCAAGAGCACACCCCGCCTGAGCATACACCCAGAGCACACTTTCCCTTCTTTCCTCTCCTTGAAAGTCCTCTGTCTTCCTTCTTTGTCCCCTTCTGTACCCTAGACACCGAAGCAAACAGCTTCTAGCCTTCTCCCGGCAGGAAGGTCCAAGCCCTGTCTCCCAGAATCCTGGTCTTTAGTGATGTCTGACACATGGTTCATACACGGGAGGAAGTGCACCTGCAGAGGGACTGTGACCCAAAGGAGTGAGTACTAGGATCAGAGTCTGCAGCCCCAGGCCCATAAGTGCTGTGTAGCATGTGGCAGGTCATACCAGCACCTTACTCCGTCCACCTTCCCTTGGAGCTTCTTGGGTCCCAGTTCCCCTGCCCAAAGCACAGCTAAGCCTGAGGGTGTTGTATCTGTCTCCACCCCCCACCATGTGTACTCTGAAAAAAAGAGCAGACTCCCCCGCTACTGTTCCCTGCAACATAGAAC